ATGCATGCGAAAGCTTTTCGGCGGTTGCCTTAAGATCTTAAACCCCCTACGAAGCGAAAGGCAACACGCTATCACCATGGGGTCTTCTCGACCCGCTTCCTCTTCACCTCACCACCCTGTAGGGCCTGAGCCCTCTTGATGGCTCTCTGTGCCTCCCGAGCTCGATCGAAGTCCGCCTTGGCTTCGAACAGTGAGGTGATGATGTGAGTGGGGATATCCTCGAATCTAACATCGACACGTTTGGCGAGATCGACCTGATGGAACTTAGAGTTAGTTATATCGTCTGCTATGGTGTTCTCCTCCCTTGGGCGCCACCTCAAACGAACCGCAACCCGTGCACGAGACAAAATGGAGGGAGGACAGTTGCATGTTGATCAGCATCAGAGGAAACTTGGTCGTGGCACGCTTCCTCGAAAGGAATTCATTGGCCCTGTTATCCGTGCCAGCCACTAAATGAAGTTCCAACGACTTGCGAGATCTGGCTTCAGCCGTCCATCCAAACGCGACAAGCGCAACAAGCGTCGCTAACAACTCCGCCGATGTCGAAGCCCACTGAGCCCCTTTACCTGGGAGGAACAAATAAGGAGCGGAGGTCTCACCAAGGCATACCTGGAACCAGCGACCCGACGAAAGCTCCCAGCCTCCGAGGACCACACTGTCCGAAGTACATTTGGCGTCCGTCCTAAACTGCTCTCCACTGAACGCAAGCGGCCTCTTGGCCGAAACCATGAAGGACTCGGCTTGAAACTCAGCCAACAAGTACCTCAGAGTGAGGATCACCACGTCTGGCAACTTTGCCACTGTATTGGAGGCCGTCGCTGCTGACCACGCGAACAAAGGTGACAAGTGTGGTTTAAGCCTAGAAACTCAGCAAAGTCCCGGGTGACTACCACGAACTTCTTAGTTTCAGCGGCCTTGATCCACTTTACCAACCACTCACCCCGTCGCAGCGAGACCCCAATCTCATTAAGGTCATAACGCATCTGGTAACCTACAAACTCTGAAGAGAAACCCCCCCTGAACTTGTGGTAGGCAAACGGGGTGCCCACCAATTCAAAGGCCAACAACCAAATCCAGAGGTTGAGGAACTTGGAAGGCCCGGTGAAAGAGCCGTGCAAATCATCGACATACACTAGATGGATGAACCAAACACAACCCATGAGGTGCCCGACAAATCTTCCTACTAGTCCAAACAACTTCGACCACCAGTACGGAGCGCTGGAAACGCCGAACGTGCCGACGCGGTTCACCCACACCGTGGTCGAGTTCGAATCAGCTCGACATGCCATAAAGGGCCAATCACACTTCCTGATCTTGACGAGACGGTGTGCAGCACGTATGTCAGCCGACACACCACTGCGGCCACCTCCGAGGGACCTGGACACTGGATCTGATCCTGATAGACGATGCGATTATTGACTTGCACCGAGTGTGTCCCGTCGTGTAAGGGCCGTACCGACCCATCAGGCTTGACAATCGCGGCCATTGCCGCAACCCGAACTCTTTCTTCGCCGAACTCCTCCTTCAAGACCGAGAGCCGTGTAGGATACATGCGCTCCAGCTGTTCCTCTTCGCGAAACTTGGCTTCTAGCTCAACAGAAAACAATTGGCCCGACGAATAATTGAATGCGATCGGATTGAAGTCTGAGTCATCCAGCTTCCGATGCTTGGTCTTCTCGGGGAAGACTTGAGGTGACCGGGGCAGTGGATCATCAACACCCAGTGGTACCCCAGTCGCGAAGCTGTCCTCAGCATCCACCAGCCACAAACGATCAGGATCCTCAAAACCGCCAACCACTGAGCCAGTCCCCTCAAGAGAAACGGCTGGCGGGGATCGACCTTCGCCGCCTCCGCTGGGTCGGGAAGAAGCCCTACCCACCGTGTCCGCAACTTTTCCAAAGGCGCCCCCTCGAAAGGCGAGGCCAGCATCTTGCCAGTCACCAGACCAAAGGCCGCCGCTCTCACATCTGGAACGCAAGCATGGACCGTCTCTGAGAGGAGGGAGAATGTGTCCTCCGCCAAGCGCCTCATCGCCGGTGTGCGCCTCGCCCCTCGACATGATGGAGCCCGCGGCTGTGCCCAGGGCAACGGCAAAACCAGCCGCTTGAGGACAGTGCTGTGGTGTACTACCCGTAGTCAAGCAACTGGAAAAGGGCATGCAAGCTCTGCAGCAGGACAACTGCACATTCAAGCTGATGCGGAATGGGCACTTGGCCAGGGATTCCAACACCGTGGGTTTGTGTTCTGCGCTGGCCATTTGCAGCAAGTGCGTGTGCCCAATGGCTGACGGAGATGGCACGAGACCTCTTAGCACCGATCCCGTTCCGGGAAGTGTTTGTCATCCTGGCCTTATTTCTTCCGCAGCTTACCTTTGTCGAAGAAGCAACCACAAGACAGGAACTATGGAGTAGTCCCACTGTAAGAAAGTTTGGCCTCTTCGTGGATATCACACCCACAGCAACCGGGTTGCAGGGCATGCATGAACATCGCATTACCTTTCCCTCGTGGTCACAAATGGCTATCTTTTGCCCAGCGCACTTCCAGAGTTGTAATTTTGACCAGCTAGCGAGCAGCCCTTCCAGTACGGTCCATATGGGCTCGCAGGCTGGGAAGGCCTATCGATTGGTTCTGCAGGAGCACGGCACGTGCTATTCAGTCTTGGCACTCCTGCTTGCCTTTGTGACTCCCTCACGGAAACGAAAAGGAGAGGAATCGCCAAGTGAGAAGCTCGGGCGATTGAGTTTTTTTTTCCACGAGTACGGACGCCGTGTGGGCATGGTGCCCAGGTCATCGTTGAAGGAAGGGAAGAAAAGACAGATGGTGGAGAAAGGAACGAAGACCCCAAAAACCAACCCAAAACCAAACACCCAAGCCCGCAGGCCGACTCCACCATCTTGTAGTCTTCCCTGTACACTAGGTGAAACGTGTGAAACTGAGACTAGTGACAATTAGTGGGCCTGAATTCGCAAAAGAAGAGGACTGCAGCGCAAGCTGTGTGCATGGAAAGCCGCCTAGAAGGCTTCAAACGGGCTTTCCTTACCAAGTGTTGGTGACCAGCGGCCACACCACAGTGTGGCAAAACAAGGTCACTTTGCAGGTCAGGTGTCTCGCAATGCTCCAGCAGTGGTTGTAATCAGGCCAACCGAAAGTGCGAAGATCAAAGCAGCAATCCAAGGAAAAGACCATACTTGTAGCACAACCCGTTCAACCGGTGGCGCATACAAGGCCAGTCACATGCTGCCAGACAGAATTCAATCACGGCGGTGATTCCTAGCGAGAGAAGCCTGCCGCAAGGGGTGAATCGGGCACCACCTCCCCGTGGGGAGGCAGACCCAACACCCTTCGGCACTCAACGGTGCCAGAAAGGGGATGTCACTTGAGTCTGTGCGGCGCAGTTTAATGGCAAAAGGTGAAAGGTGCGTGCAAGGCCCGTGTGAAACCTGTGAAACATTGAGCTCTCCTAGCATGATATCTGTACCTCTTTGTACAAAATTGGAAATGTCGGACATCAACAGCGGGAACTAAGGTTCCCCCTGGGCATCCTTCATTGCCACTATCTACCACCCGCCGCGTAGGAACGCAGAACTAAGGTTCTCGCTCCTATCGGCTCACTTCGCAGCGGATGGCGAGAAGAGGTCATGGTTCTACTTGGCGTCTGTGCATTTTGCTTGCCATATATGCCTGGAAATCCTTCTTTTCTAATGCTCAAAACTGACACTTGGCTCAACTCACTGCTCACGTCGCACTTGCTTCTCTCCTGGCTCCGAAGCATAGCTTCGTTGAGGCTGGTACTAGATAGTTTGTGTCGCTCAAGGTCGTTTGCGTTATAGGTTATCGAATGCTATGGTGCCAAAACCTTGCATCACGGGGCGACCACGTCCCGCAGCATTGGACACCTAAACCAGTGACCGACTGCAGGTGGGCGATTTGCCGTTGTCGACATCACCGCCACGCCGAGACCCTTCTCTATCCGACAGCCTCTGGGCACTTACTCCGTGTATAACGGAGGGCAACTATGATTAGTGACTCGTGTTGAGGAGTACTGTTTCGCAGTTGCTGGCCTACTCCGGACCCGAGCTAAGGCTCGCACCCAGACCCTAACAAAATTGATAGCAGGGCCACGGCAGCTGTGAATGGAGGGATGATCCTCTATCCTAAGCCAGGGGTGTAGCCCATGTCTGGGATCATGTGCAGCCAGGGTGGCCATTTCATGGCCGGACAGATGGCAAAAGCATTTTCTTCAGCGTAAACCCCATGCCATCTGCGTCTTCCGGGCATTTTGACCAGCCTCCGAAGGGCAGTGCAGTCCAAGAAAGCCCTACTTCCAATATACTTGAGAGCAGGCGGAATGGCAAGCTCAACAAGGGCGGCACAGTTCATAAAGGCTTTAACTCGGATTGTATGGAGGGTTGTCGGTAGGAAGACTTCCCGAAGGCTAGTGCAGTGGCCAAAAGTGAATTCCGGAATTTCTTCAATCATGGTGTTACGGAGGTCAACACTGTTAAGCAGTCGACAACTGTCACAAGCGTGCGCTCCTATGGCTACAAAGTGCTTTGGGAGAACAAGCGTGTAGATGCCTGTAGAGCTGAGGCAGCCCGGAGCTAGCTCTCTGGTCCTGTCTTGCTGGGTTAACCCGTTCAATGCAGATCGGGGGGATGGAACCTCGCTCACGGTGACCTCTGCAAGGTTGATGCACCCTTGGAAGAGGTATTGCCCGAAATTGGTTTCCCCGCTGAACACGTTTACAGCTCCACCCGATGCATATACACGCTGCAAGGAACAACATTCCGAAAAGGCTTTGTAACCAAAATCGCGACAACCCGGAGCCAAGACACTATTTAGGAGCTTGCAGTCCCGGAAGGCATTATCTGCAATGCCTACCACTGTGGCCGGCAGTTTGACAATGCGGAGTTGCCGGCAATCTTGCCACGCCTCTGCTCCTATGAGCCTGATCCCTGACTCGACGCTAACGTGTCGCAAGCGTGGCACACCTGCAAAGGCCCATTCTGGGACAGTTTCTTCTGAGTTCATTGGGACGTGAACAGCTAAGGGGACTTGATCAATAGGATAACCACCGAGCTGTTCTTGTTCTCGCAGGGTAACACTACAGTCCCTGAAGACAATGGTGTATTCTCTACCCTGCTGCAACTTATCCCAAATTGGGTCCTCTAGGTAGGTTTGCGTGGTGGTGTGTAAAAAGTCAATGACGCACCCAAAAACTTGGAGGTCAGTGACCGAGGCCAGATAATCCATAACCTGGTCTTCTAAGTCTGTAAATCGGTCGAACTTGGCGACACTGAGAGAGACCTTCAAGGTTACCCCCGAAAGCGTAGTCAGCAACAGGGGGCATTCCATGACTGGCTCCTTTTCGATGGGAGTGCTATTCATGGATGAACTGTCAAACTCTTTTTGCGGCAGGCTATTTGATATCATTGTGCGAGCCACTGGTGTTCAGTCTGCGCATGGGCTGTTCCCACGGCCGGGGCTGTTTCCTTGAGACAGATGCTAAGGCACCTACCTTGAGCCTCTCATGGCCTTGAGCCAAAGGCTACGGTGAAGAAGCTCGGGCGATTGAGCAGCCCTCGTCACTGGGACGTTGCCTTAGGACCGTTCCCGGAAGATTTTGCGCCGCTGCCCACGCCAACCGAAACCGGTCCAGCGTGCCCAGCACAATGGGCCTTTCCACCTAGCCTATGTGTGCTAGGTGTTGGCAATTGCAGAGGAGACACTGTCACTGCTGACCACCTGGATTGCCTTTGCCGACCCTAAAGTTTTTCAGCAACAAGGGGTTGGACACCAACAAGCTGATGGCTCCTTCCCAATCGTCGCTTGTCATTGCAGTTTCAAAGCGAATCCAGGAGGCAACCGCATGGAGGCAGCGATTCGATCACGGCGAGGAACAACAGCGGGGTGCCTGAGCTTCAGAGTAGCCAGACTGACTTTTTGCCTGAAGGGAGCTCGCACTGTAGCCAGTGCCAGTGACAGTGTTTGTGCTTACCCATCCACCGTGCAGAGTCTTCGACATACGTGACGTGCAGGGATCGTTGCAACATGTCAAGATCGTCAGCTGTTGGCTTCCAGTCACACAAGCAATCTTCGGCAGCATGGACAAGATGGTAGTTGCGCCTGTAGGCTCTGCAGTGGCAACTAGTGCCGCTCTTCGGCATTGCAATGGCGCCTAGGCGCGCTGTGATTTGACTGGCTGCCAGAGGCAACGAATTGCTAAGGCAATCACTGCTCCAGTCTGGCTGCCTGCACCAAAGCCGTTCACCGTAAAGTGGGTCAAGTCATCCTGCTCGGCCGGCCGAAGACACTCAAGCACTGGCAAGTAGGCAATAAGTCGAAGCGGCTACAGCGAAAGTAGTTTCCATCAAAGACCACTGAGAAAGGCCTGGTGTGGCAGCCGTCGGTGAGCTGGGAGCAGCCGGCTGCTTGCAGCACATGTTGCGTGCGTTGGTACAGGAGGGCTGCTTTGCCATACCCGAGGTCTTCCCATTTCTGGCAAGGGTTCTGCGTGAGCACGAAAAGAGTGGCGACTTCGTGACCGCTTTCGAACAGCCACAGACAACACCGAACTCCTGCTCTTTAGTGACATCTGCAGGGGAGAGTGACGGCCCGTAGACTTGACTTTCTCCCACCGGCGGACACATGCAATGGAAGTGTGGGGGGGACATCCCCTTCAAGGGCTCCGCCCCCACAACTGATCTGAAATACTGAGGGTGGGGTGGGATGTCAGAACCTATCCAGCACTCATTGATTCGTGCAATCATCCACAGGACGGTGAGCCACAGAATTTCACCTTGCTGACGCTGGTAGATGGCTTCAAACACTTGTGGCGCGACACCTTCCAAAGGCATAAACGAGCCTTGGAGTTGACAAAACAAGTCATTGTTGGCTTGTAGAAACTGCTCTTTTTCTCCCGGGACAAGAACACTTGGGGTGAGCCAGAGCCGCTTGCAGTTGCTCATACGGACATGCTTCAATGTCCTTGTGGAGTTCAACAACCCCTCGCAGCTTGGCGACTTGACTCC